TGACATAAAAGTAACTTTGAAGTCCTGCAACAAATTGAGAATGCTTAAATAAATGTGTTCATATTTTAAGAACTATTTTGATAGATACCATAGTACATCACATAGTATGCTGGCTTATATATACAAAAATTTAATTCTCTGTTTAAAAATCGAAAAAATGTCTGTTTAAATTTCAAGTCTCTACGAAAATTTTTAACTGAATCTCCCCCAAAAAAACAAAACAGAAAATAAAAAAAAACGTTATTTTCGTACATTTTCCTGTTCTTTTTACGTTTTGTTTTTGGTTTTGTTCAATTATTAAAAAAACTGCACAAAAAGTGATAAAACGAATTTTTAAATCACTAATCAAATTAAGAATCTAACAAAAAAGGTCACTTGTCATTTTTCTATTTGAGCAATATTTCTAGTAGAAAATGTTGTTATGCATACAAATTTAAAATATTGAAATCGGTAACGCTGTGCTTCAAATATTTGTTGTTTTACTTATAATTTTCTTTCGAGGTTTTCCCTATTATTTTGAAAACCTCTTAGAAAATCAAAAGTTGACGTCTTTAATGAGACAAAATTACCTTTCAGAAATTGTTACACTCTATACATCGGAGCAAGATTTCTGGTACATGAGTTGTTCACAGACATAAAAAAAAAAAATACAAAAACACAGATCATAGTAAATCAATAAATCCCAACAGCTATGCTCAGAATCCAAAATAAACACCATTGTAAAACCACTATATTCCTGCCTATGTCAAATAATGTCAATATCGGTTTACACACACAGAAAATCAGCTCGGCGCCACTGCACGTGAGTGTTAACTTTTCAACCTTTATGTTAATACATACGATCTATTGTATCTATTATCCATACATAAATGTTTAAAAAGTTCAAAAATAGGTTTGAATTAAAATAAAACTACTAATATGTTTTGAAGGGTGAAGATATATACATATATATAGTCCATATTTATTTTTCTTAGCTATAAAATGAGAACAAACAGTTCCTATAGGTATTATAGATACTTTCCAATAGATCGTTTTATTCGATTGTAGCGAAATCCTGTATATAATGAACTATTATTGTTGTATGATATTTATAACAAATAAAGTTTAAAACAAAAAAAAAAAAAAAAAAAAAAACACGCTTGAAACAAATAAAACTAGGGAATATTTTTTTTTTATGTTAAAATCGCTTATAAACTAATACATTTTTGCCCCGGGGTTATCTTTTCATTCCGACATGATAAATATAAAAACCGCGCAATTTATTAATATATTTAATTTAATTAAAACGTACCTCCCGACAGAGTTGTACAATAATATTTTTAAATATTAGTACGGCGCGACGTGTCGGTAACTCGTTTGCGAGCGTTTCCCCCAGGCATTTTAAAGGTCTTTCGTTCTTTGTTTATTTAAGACATTAAAGTCGAATTTATTCGTGAACGTATAAAATAAAAACACAGTTAATTATCACCGTTATTGTAATACCTAGCATAACGGTTTTTGGGTAGGGTTATTTTATATACACATATTTTTATCGAATCGAGAGATATTAACGATATTTGAATCCAAGCGACTGAATAGTGACGACGAGTGCCAAATGTTCAAATAATTGGCTCCTGTTTTTAATACGGAAGGTACCTATATATATATATATAAAAAAAAAATCTCGTTTAAAAACGTGCGTAAACAAATTATCCGTTTTATGGTTATTTTTCACGGGTATTTAAATTTTGCGTGTGCAATCGAATATTCTGCTTTTGTGCCTAAACGAGTTGCCTACTACCGTTCCCGCCTTCGGCATAAATTTAGAGTATGCAAATATTCTACCAAACTTGTGTTATTTTTTCAGTTAAAATAATATAAAGTCAGACAAATTATTAACAATGATTGTATATCGGTTTGTTTTTTAAAAATATAAAATTTATTTACAACTAGCAAATAAAATCGACATTTTCGGACTCGACACTCTTATACTCGATTTACATTTAAATAATATCCGAAGAAAATCGTTTGAAAAATAAAATATACCGTTTCTTGTTTAGTTTTCATAACTAAACATTTCGTCGAAACAATGTTAATTTTCCGTATCGATACTTTTCCACGTGGATCGTCGCGGGACTTGATGCTTGCGCGAGGAAACGTTTCGCAGGCAATCTAGTCGTCACTACCGATTCGGGCAACAGTCTTATCTGTTCAATCGTTGCATTAAAATATTATTATTGTAAACCATTCGCCATCGTGATTTCGAGACTTATAGTTATTATATTAACTGATGGTTATTACATTTCGAACGTGCGTTATTATCGGACGAAAACAGTGTGTGCGCGGACTCTATTGAAACAAACAATTATTATAAAGTGAATTGCAACTTGCGCGTTCGGGTCTGCACGAGGTCGCACGGTTAACCGTTAAGTACCTTATTCTTCTTTTTTTTTTTTTCTTCTGTAAACATCAAGTAAAATAAATATTTAATAATACAAACGAAGCGTGTGTACTTACTTGTTTAACGTGATTCTACCGTATACAGTAGCGGGTATCGTGTAATTAATTTGCAGAAATGAAAAGGTTTTACTGATCAAAATAATATTCGGTCGCATTACGTACTGCAGGCTTTATATTTAGTCATAATTTAGTACGAACGCTAATTATTCAATAAAACGACAAAGGATTTAAGTGGTTTTTAACTCGAACGTATAATGGAATGACTAACGAAAACAAATCTGTACGCGTGTGCAGTTATAACAGATACATCGGAATTGGTGGTCGTTTGGACTTTTACACGGAATTTTATCTGTTCATCTCACAATAAATTATTAAATATTAACAACCACGGATGCAAATTGTAATTTTTTTTTTTTTTTGCTGAGAAGGGTCACAACCATTATATTATTAATTATTATACTAACCATTATATTTTAATACGGTGAAAGACGAAACCCGGTATATATTATTCGTGTTGAAATTGTTTAAAAGCATACTATACACCGGCCAGTGGCGTATTTACGGGGGCGGATCCGTCCCCAGATCCGCCCCCATGGCTTTTCGAATGCATGTATGTAATATTATATAATTATATTATAATATATAATATAAGGTTTTGTACGCTAAAATTCTCGTCATTCACCCCTACAAAAAACCGGCGTTTCCTTAGGGGTTACAAATGTCCCTCATTCTCCTATAGATCCGTCGTTATACTCATACTCGTAGAGGTCATGTATTCGGTTTTCACAAGGACGCTGGAGGTTTTTTTTTTTTTTTTTTACACTTATTTCGCAAGCCAGCGTCATTTCGGAGTAAATAATTTTATTATTTTCTGATCATTTTCTTCGCAGAACCGTTTGACGATTTTATTCACTAGAATATTTTAAAATTTTTATCTTTGTTCCGTAAACCATGAACACATATTATTATTAATCGTATTATGATTAACTTTTGATTTTAAAATAATATAATCCACATTTCATAACCATCTCTGCTATTTTTATTTTTAAATCTGAACATTTAAAGTAATTCAATTACATATTATATATTATATAATAATAAAAAAAAAAATTATATTTAAAACAACGAAGTATTATGGTTTTACAATTCATAAAAAAAAAAAAAACCGTTTTACATTTTTATATAAAATAAACGTTGTTTTATGAAAATAATATCTTCACTCCAAACCTATTTTGTGAGATACCGAAACAATGTGTCATGAACCATTTCGTGAAACCGAAAGCTCCAAATTTATAGTATTTCATCTAATCTACATAATATTTAAATAAATTGAACAGTAATTGAACACGTGTGTTGAAGACGGTTTGAATTCGAAATATGTTTTTCTGAAATGCGATCAAATAAAATTAAGTGTTTTCGAATCTTTTCGTTTTGAACATTAAATGTGTTTACTATAAAAAGGTACTTATACCTAACGTGAAAAATTGAAAAGAGTTCAGTAGATTGTGAGAAATGTTTAAAAATATATTTTTTTTTTTTTACATAAATAATAAATAAGTATAAAACTCAATTGTTATGCGTTTCAATTATTTATAAATATTTCTGATTTAAGATTTAAAATTTCAACTAGTTACTATTTATTTATTTATCGTATGGTTTTAGTTCAACACTCTACATAAAATATTAGTTAATAATATAACAACAATAAAAACATGTATCCTGATAAAATAAAAAAAACATCAATAGTTAGAATTAAATAAATAGATAAAATATATAATATAATGATTGATTGACGGTAAATGATGAACTACCATGATCAGTCTTAAAACATTTTTATGTTATAATTTAAGTTCTTAAAAGTCATTATGTCGAATTACTTCAACTTCAATTACTTCGTCTTTTCAATCGGCTTCTCCTGTGTGCCTGTACATTTTTCCACGAAAAAACGAATAATTAAATTTGTTTTTGACTTAATACTTAGTACCTTGTCAACGCCTCTATTAAGCGTATTGTTCTAATACAAACAGACTGCTTAAAAATAAATATGAAAATAAAGTTGTTATAAAAAAAATTGGAATTTATACTTTATTAGTTAAATTTGTTTAATATGTAATAGTTTTTCGAGAACAATTGAGTGGGTTTATTTGTCTTTTCGTTTTAATTAATTCAAGGCGACTATTCTCTTTTTTGGGCTATGAATAGTTGATGGAAATTAACTAATTAAATCATATTTACAAATGACATTTTGTACGTTCACTTCGTAAAAAATTATCAGTATTTACGTTCTTGTGACCATTATATTTATTATTCGGTAACATTGAAATATTAAAAATCAAAACCATTTTAATAAATCCTGAAAAAAAAAAAATTAAGACTCAATATTTACAATTATCGAAATTAGTGCATTAATAGCCCATCACAAGTTATAAGAAAATATGGAAAAATTGACAAAACACTAGTAAAAAACTACTAAAAATTTCGGTATGAATTCGCCAAATCGAACTGAATCTGATTTAATGAATACTGAAATGAATCGTGAACTGTAGTACAGCACTGTAGAAATGGCAGCGATTGTTGCCCGCAATGTTCCACTAATGAATGAGGAACAAAAAACCGTTTATGATCGCATAATGCTCGCAGTTTCAGCTGGACAAGGTGGGTTCTTCTTTTTGGATGCACCGGGTGGAACTGGCAAAACATTCGTTATTTCGTTAATTCTTGCTGAAATACGATAAAATAATGGCATCGCATTGCCCGTTGCATCATCGGGCATTGCAGCAACTTTATTGTATGGAGGCAGAACAGCTCATTCAGTATTTAAGCTGCCACTAAATATTCAGAATAACCCTGACGCAGTATGCAACATTAAGAAACAATCGTCCATGGCCACCGTGCTGAAACAGNCGCAGTTTCAGCTGGACAAGGTGGGTTCTTCTTTTTGGATGCACCGGGTGGAACTGGCAAAACATTCGTTATTTCGCTAATTCTTGCTGAAATACGATCAAATAATGGCATCGCATTGGCCGTTGCATCATCGGACATTGCAGCAACTTTATTGGATAGAGGCAGAACAGCTCATTCAGTATTTAAGCTGCCATTAAAAATTCAGAATAACCCTGACGCAGTATGCAACATTAAGAAACAATCGTCCATGGCCACCGTGCTGAAACAGTGTAAAATTATCATCTGGGATGAATGTACTATGGCACACAAACATTCGCTTGAGGCGTTGAACAGGACATTGAAAGATATTAAAAACAACGACAATCTATTTGGCGGAACTCTGTTGGTCCTTTCAGGTGATTTCAGGCAAACACTTCCAGTCATTCCACGTTCAACATACGCTGATGAGATCAACGCTTGCTTAAAATCATCTCCATTGTGGCGTAATGTTGAAAAAGTACAGCTGAAAGTAAATATGCGCGTTCAAATGCTTCAAGATCCATCCGCTGAAACATTTCCAAAACAACTCTTAGATGTCGGTGATGGAAAAGTTGTTATAGATAAAACTGGATTTGTAAAATTACCGACCGATTTCTGCACAATCGCTGATTCGCAAGATACTCTCATTGAACAAATATTTCCCGATATACACACACAGTACAGAAATCATGAGTGGCTTGCAGAAAGAGCAATTTTAGCGGCAAAAAATAAAGACGTTGACAATTTAAATCTGAAGATACAAATGTTGCTGCCAGGGAACTTGGTATCATATAAATTTATTGATACAGTTTGCGACGAAAGCGAAGCAGTAAATTTTCCCACAGAGTTTTTGAACTCATTGGATTTACCAGGCATGCCACTGCATAATTTACAATTAAAGGTTGGATCTGCGATTATCTTACTTCGTAATTTGAACTCACCCCGGCTGTGCAACGGTACGCGATTAGTCATTCAAAAATTAATGAAAAACGTGATCGAAGCCAGCATTTTAAATGCAAGTTCCGAGGTGAAAATATATTAATACCACGGATTCCTATTATACCTACAGATGTGCCAATTCAATTCAAACGTATTCAGTTTCCGATTAGATTGGCATTTGCAATGACAATCAACAAATCCCAAGGTCAAACGATATCTATTTGTAGCTTAGATTTGAGAACACCATGTTTTTCACACGGACAATTATACGTGGCATGCTCTCGAGTGGGTAAACCATCCAGTTTGTTTGTGTTAGCTAAAGATGGACTAACAAAAANCACGGATTCCTATTATACCTACAGATGTGCCAATTCAATTCAAACGTATTCAGTTTCCGATTAGATTAGCATTTGCAATGATAATCAACAAATCCCAAGGTCAAACGATGTCTATTTGTGGCTTAGATTTGAGAACACCATGTTTTTCACACGAACAATTATACGTGGCATGCTCTCGAGTGGTCAAACCATCCAGTTTGTTTGTGTTAGCTAAGGATGGACTAACAAAAAATATTGTTAACGTTATAGCATTAAGAGATTGATATTTTTAAGGAATAAATTATAATAACTTAAAAATAATGTTTGCTTTTTGT